ACACACTAAAGGGTTTGTATGATTAATATAGATATTCTGGCAGTGGCTTTTGAGAAGTGACCAGACCACTAGTTCAGACCTGTCTCCGAAGCCCCATTCTCTGTGCCCACCACTTGCAGAGATGAGGTGACTTGAGATGGGGCATTTTCAATGGTGGCACCTCATCTTTGGAATGCCCTTCCTCTTGAGGCTCATCTGGCACCTGTCTTTCAGGTGCCAAGCTAAAACATGTCTATTTATGAAAGGGTTTTTAAAAGCCATTTTATGGTCTGCTTCTAACCTAAGGACTGCTTTTTTTTCTCTCTAGGATGATCAGTGGTCATTTTACACTGCTTTTATGCCCATGGCTTGTTGTTAATTTTAATACTAATAAATCATTTTGCTGTTTTTGCTTATGAGCCACCTCAAGCAGATATCTAGAGATGCAGCATATAAATTCAGCCCTTCCAATAGCCACCACATTGGATCAGTCTACCACATGGTCTCCAACAATGACCAGAAAGAGATTTATAAAATCTCTCTATATTATAAAGCTGATTTGGGGTGGCCCCTGGCCTATGGGGTGGCGAGAAAAAATGTGCTCCCTCAGCCATTGGCCCGTCGGCTACCGCTCAGGGCAACTGGCGTGCCATTGGCTGGGTGGGGGGGGAGGGAGGGGGACGAGCTTAGCCGCCTTGGCCCACACACGGCTGGAACGGGCGGCGAGTGGCCGGTAGTGAGACAGATGAGGCCGAGCGAATTGGACAGCCAGCCCTTCGCTCGCTCACCTTCCCCCCCCAAACCTACTCAGGCCCTCGCGCACCCGCCACCGCGCCTGGCCGCACAGACGCCTCCAATCGCCCCGACCCACCTTTCCCCCCTCAACCACCATTCACGTCCCTGCCTAGCCTACGAGAAGGCAGGGGCTGCAGGGAGCTGCACACCGCTTCCCTGCCCCGCCGCGGACTGGACCAGGGGAGCCGCGGGCCCTGTTTGGGGGGGGTCGCCCTCCGGCAGCATTCCCTGTGCCCCCGTCATCCCTGGCCTCCCGGCATGCCCCGCCCCCGAGATGGGTGAGTGGGGGGGAGACAGCCGTGCCGCGCTTCCCTGGGCCACCGTGCCCTGGCACAGGGAAGCCGTGGGCCCTGCTGGCCGGGTGGGTTCAAACGCTGCCGCTGTTCCCTGCACTGGCCCCAGCCTCGGAGGGGGGAGATGCCCGAGGGAAAGCCGAGCTAGCCCGTGGGAGGAGAGGCAGTTTACACCCCCTCCCCTTACCTCTCAGAGCCAGCTTCCTCACCCTCCCCGCAGCCATGGGGAAGCTGAGCAGGCCCGTGGGAGGAGAGGCGGCTTAAATCTCCTGCCCTTCCCTCTCAGAGCTGGGTACCTCGCCCTCCCTGCAGCCAAGCTGAGCAAGCCCATCAGAGGAGAGGCAGCTTACACCCCCTCCCCTTCCCTTTCAGAGCCAGGTTCCTTGCGGGTGAGGGCCACTAGCGGCGGGTGGGAGAGACCAGGCCTGCAGCCGCATGGCCAATCTAGCGGCCGTTGCATTTACAGCTGCAACCGGGCCTTCTTCCTAGTTTATTAATATTTTAAATCATAAGTATTCTGGAAAGTTGAGAAACAGTGCATAATGGTAAAAGCCAATCCCTGCCACCTGTCCACAGCATCTGATAACTGGAGATATACTGCCCCTCAAATCGCTTGCTCACAACTTTAATGCCAGTAGCTCACAAAGTAGAATTTTTGCTCACAAGACTCCACAGCTTAGAGGGAGCACTGGTCTGGTCTGACACACTAACTGCTATGCCACACTGGCACAAGAAGGAAGAGGAGGACGACGAGGAGGAGGAAGAGGAGGAGGAGAATTGGATTTCTACCCCACCCTTCACTCAGAGTCTTAAAGCGGTTTACAATCGCCTTTCCCTTCTCCCCACAACACCCTGTGAAGTAGGTGGGCCTGAGAGTTCTGAGAGAAGAAAAAGAGATTGGATTTATACCCCACCGTTCACAACCCAAAGGTGTCTCAGAGCGGCTTACAAACTCCTTTCCCTTCCCCTCCCCACAACAGACACCCTGTGAGATAGGTGGGGCTGAGAGAGCTCTTGACAGAAACTACCCTTTTTCAAGGACGGCTCTTATCAGAACTACGGCTTGCCCAAGGTCATCCAGCCAGGTGCAAGTGGCGGAGTGGGCAATCAAACCCGGTTCTCCCAGATTAGAGTCCACACACTTAACCACTACACCAAACTGGCTCTCAGAGAGAGCTGTGATTGACCCAAGGTCACCCAGCTGGCTGCATGTGCAGATCAGAGTCCATTGCTCTTAATCACGACACCAAACTGACTCTTAAAGATGCAGGGCTGCCACTATCCAGCATAGTTTGGGCCCTTAACAACTAGTATTTATTGATCTAAATGTCTTTATTTATATAAACTCACTATGCTGAATTAGAGCCACAGAAAGAACAGCCTTTCTGACATACAAGGCAAAATGTGAGCAAGCAGAGACATAGCAGTGAAAGGGGGACAATTTAACATCCAAATTGTTGTTGTTGTTAGCTAATTAAGACTTCTCCCTTCAGCATGGAATAGCAAATATTAAAAACGTGCTTACTATTTGTACAAATTTACCTGAAGTTATAATAGTTACTTATAATTTTGAAAAGCTAATTTCATTGTTTTGAAACACAGTTAGCTAATTTATTTTTTAAATTAGCATAAGTATCATCCCATTGGATAAACACTTTACCTGAAGTTATAACAGTTACTTATAATTTCGAAAATCTAATTTCATTGTTTTGAAACACAGTTAACTAATTTATTTTTTAAAATAGCATAAGTATCATCCCATTGGATAAACAGGTGGCCAGGACTACCTTTTACCAGCTTTGACTGATTAGCTAGCTGTGACCTTTCCTGGACAGAAAATATTTGGTCACAGTGGTGCATAACCTGTTAACACTCAGATTAGATTACTGCATTGCGCTTTGACTGGGGCTGCCCTTGAAAGGTGTTTGAAAACTTCAAATAGTACAGAATGCTGCAGCCAGGATGGTGACTGGAGTGGGCCACACAGGGACCCTATCACTTCAGTCCTCCTGGCCCTTCAACACTGGCTCCTATTTGCTTCCAGGCACAATTCAAGGTGCTGATCTTGTCCACTGTTCCCTCTAAGATGAGTTAGTGTAAACTAGCTCACGGGGCGCGGGGAGTTAGCCTCCGGCTCACCCATTTTTGTCTTCGCTCAGGAAGGATGGCTCCAGAGCAAACTAATTTATGCAATAGCCAAATTGCTAGCTCACTTTAATGCCAGGAGCTCACAAAGTAGAATTTTTGCTCACAAGGCTCCACAGCTTAGAGGAAGCCCTATTCATTTGGGGACCAACACACCTGAAGGACCGCCGACTATCCTACAGACCCACCCAACCACTACAATCATTTCCTGAGGCCCTACTTCAGGTCACTCTAGTCTTCTGGGATTAGGCAGGTGGCAACCTGGGAGAGGACCTTCTCAGTCATGACATCAAAACTGTGGAACTCCCTCCCAGGAAATATTTCTCTGTCCCCTTCCATCACTGTCTCCTGAGAGCAGGGGAAGATTTTGTTTTGGTTTGCTTGGCATTCTCTCAACGACCTCTCCTTCCTGCCTTATGTTTAATTTGGTGGTTTTTAAAATACATTTCATTTTGGGTTTTAACCAATTTTATGATGTGTTTTATAAGGTCCTGCTTTTAATTGTTAGCCCCCTTGGTGGCCCTGATTGGGCAGAAAGGCAGAAGATAACCTTTCCTGTTCTAACAAAGCTAATGCTTTAAAAACAATCTTTTACCATATTTTGACTAGTCTATTGGCCAACCCTTCCTCAAACATCAATTCAAACAAATTCCTGAACCGGACGATAAAAGAGCACTCCTGCGTCATTAGTTTGCTATGAGCTAGGGGCCCTTTAGGCCACTACCAGTTAGAGTTGCCAACAGGCCTACAGAAAAACAGCTTGTCCCTGTAATAAGAGAGCTGGAAATGGGCAGCTGAAGCGGTCCATGATGTGGAAGTCAATAACATCACCTGGCAAACAACATCCCATTAACCTTCTATACTAAAAGAATAGAACATTCCCCCCCAGGCCTGTCAGGACCGCTCCTTCCAATCATAAGCTGACCTCCAACAGAGTGTTTCACAGTGCAGCCCTAAGCAGAGTTATGCCACCCTAAATCCATTGATGGACTTGCTGTCACCCTGCAAGCAGCAACTACAAGCAGGTCAGGAAGCAACTTTTCTCTAGGCCAGTTTGGCCAGGGATCCTGGAGCCCCCCCCCCTTTCTGGGCATAGAGCAGGGGTTGCTGGGGGTGTGGGGAGGGAGGTATTTGTGAATTTCCTGCATTGTGCAGAGGTTGGACTAGATGACCCTGGAGGTCCCTTCCAACTCTATGATTCTATCTGATCCAATCCAGTTTCTAGGTCGGGTGGGTTTCAACACATTTCTGCCACTTAAGCCCCACATGACAAGATGCAGCATCTGTGCCCGTGAAGAGGTGTTCTGATAACAAGCTGCATTATCAGAAGATTTAGGTCTTGCTGGACTGAACCACTTCAGAATGCAGGCGAGAGGGCACATGTCCAGGCAACCTGTAATTCTTTCAAGGACTGAAGATGAACATTTAATTCCAAGCTTGCATTAACTGTGGAATAAAATTACCTTTTGTGGAGATGGCATTTGGGTTGCACTGGTAGTATCTATTAGAGAAGTGAATTAGAACTCTCTCTCTTTCCTGAGTTTCTCCAATAAGGGAAACAGCTTTGAAGAATGTCCTAGAACGACAGGTAAAGAAAGAGATATTAAACCTTGGAAAATATTTGTGCTAAGGTTGGAAATCATCCCTCCCACACCGAGATCTGAGGACCATTTGTAAGAGGAATCACTACCAATATACCATCTTCCCATATTCACCTCTGGTTAAACAGATTCTGCAGGGTTTTGTGCGGTTTCCAAAGCCTGCACAACCTATTACAGCCGGAAGCTGCAATCTGGGACCAGAGGCATAAGTGTACAGACCACTAGAATGATACATTTCTCAAACGTTTTTCTACTCCCTCAGTAGATCACCCTGTTTCTCTCCAGCCCGAGGTTCTATAGACAGTCCAGAAACAATGTGGCAAGACAACCCTCCTCCCAAAAATGTTGCCTATTCTTCTCTTCCAATTTTAAGCACGTGGGAGGGATGGGACTAGCAGCAATGGCTACTTTTTCTAAATATGGCTGTGTCATTCCTGTTCTCATGCAGGCTTTGCCAGATGCCAAGCTCACTTTAAACCTGCCTTCGAGCACGCAGAGCCCAGCCTGAAAATACACATTTCTAAATCCAGTTAGTCAAAACAGCTGTGCGTGTATTTTTTTCTAAAAAGATGCTGCTGTCAGGTTCCCTCATTCTTTCAACTCCCAGCACTCCCCTCTCATCTTCCTTATTTATTTTTCAGAGCAAGGCTTTCACTTCTTTGGGCTTTTCAATCTCCAGATCAGACAACTTACACAGCCAGCATTTTACAATGCATTAAAAAAACCCTTTGGTGAGACAAGGGAAAGAAATTTCATTTCCCCCCCTCCATCCATGACAAAGAAAAATCACACCATGAAAGACAAGGCACCGAAAGACAAGGCACGGCAAATGCTCTCTTAAGGCAGGCTATTTCTGTATTTCACTGAAAGAACAAAGGAGGGATGCCTGGGAATGAACGCTGCCTCTCAAAGAATGTGCTGTAACCTCAGAAGTGCAATAAAGTTATGCTATTTGCTTGCATGCAGCTCACAGAGAACGCGACTGGTCCCAACGTCGTGGCCTGGGGAACATGTTTCCTGCCCTTCTGTCGTCTTAACATTTTTGAAACCTTCTGTCGTCTTAACATTTTTGAAACCTACAGCTTGATGAAGAGTCCTGGTGGGCTTGAAAGCTTGCACAATGTTTTTGGTCCATCTGGTTGGTTCTAGAGCAGCCTGAATTGACCTGACTAGCCCAATCTCATCAGACCTCAGAAGCAAAGCAGGGTCGGCCACAGTTAGTACCTGGATGGGGGACCACCAAGGAAGACTGGGGCTGCTACGCAGAGGAAGGCAATGGAGACCACCTCTGCTCATCTCTTCCCTTGAAAATCCCATGGTCCTTCGGTCATCACAAGCTGGTTGCAACTTGACAGCATGCACTTAATAAAAGGGGCCGATTTGGGATACTGAAAAGTGAGGCGAAGGAATCATATCCGTGACTACCATCTAGTCTTTGATCCTTTTGCCCCGGGGCCCAGCTCGCCTACAAACACTGGATACAATCATCCAAATGATGCACCTGCATGTAGAGCAGCAGTTATCCCAACCTGGTGCCCAAGGGTGACATAGCACCCCTTTGCTTCTTCCCCAAACCAAAGAGCCGGGGGAACCGTAGTCTGGAGATCAGTTGTAATCCCAGGAGGACTACATCCCTCCCCTGGTGGCTGGTAACCCAATATCAGCTTCATGACTGCAGGGAACACTCATTCAGAAAAAGTTGCCTCCAACGTAGGTGGCTGTTTGACTTGCAACATTCCAGTATTCCATGACTGACCTAAGCACCCATGGACATAATAGCTGGCAGCCTGGTGGGAGAGTTAGGGGAGTGGGGACATTCTCTTCAGTGATACACTGATGCACGGCATCACTTCTAGTACAGAAACCACAGGTGCTGCTGTCATTGTGCTAAGGCAATAGGATTCACCCAAAACTATATGGTTAAACCAATGTGATGACACCACTTCCGTTTTTTGCACTGGAAATGACGTTGCATGTTGGTGCAATGCCAAAGAACCCTGTGGCAGCTATGGGGGTTAGGCTTTGAGGCAACTGCCTTCTGGACTGAAGAATGCCCCCGGCCTCCCCTATAGGTTCTTTAAGCCTCAACCACCCGCAATCAAATAAAAAGAGGGACACAATAAAAGATTGGTAGCATGTAAGCCACCTAAAGGTCTCTTATTTGGAAACTTCCTAGACCAAGGCTGTACTTATTTGTGAGGTGCATAAAGATCACTTTGCCTTGGACATCTGACTCGACAGACAAGAAACAGGTGGAGATGAAAAACAAATATTTATTTAACAGAAAATAAAGTGTTTAATAAGGTAAATATTATGAGGGGGCAACTTCAATATATATAGTAAAATGGGCTCTCAAGTAAAGTAAACAAACCTTGAAGGGGGATTTGATTCCCCCTCTCTTATCAGGTTCCCTCTGCAGGTCCGAGGCTGCTCTTCTCATACAAATCACCTTTCGACAGAACTTACACACTCCAGTTAGGAATGATGGGCCCTTAATGGGATGCTTATTTGTACCACTAAAATACGCTCTCTTCCCTATGCTAACTCCCAAGCTGTAACTAAAAGTCAAATAAAAGCTTGGTTAAACTGACACTCCTTTCCAGAGCCATGAAATCCGTATCCAAAAGGGGGGTGGAGTTCTCTTTACCCTTCTAAAACTATGGCTGGCTCAACCCCTCCCCACCCCATCCAGTGGCTTTCCATGGCCTCTGGTTGGCTGACAGTCACTTGGATTTGCAGGAAGCCAAAATGGCAAGGATTGGTTCAGAACCCTGGAGGAGGGGTGGGATTTTGAGGATGATTTCCACAACCCCACCACCACTTTTCCTCTCCTGGCCTATCCTAACGGGTAGTGTGAGAGAGCTCTGGGATAGGGGTGAATGGGGTTCTCAACGAATGAATTTTCAGGGTCACTTTCGGTACATATGACCCACCGCCCCCAAAAAACACACAAGTTTTGCAAGATGAGTGCATACCTGAGGGAGAGATCCAAAGACATGCCTGTGAAATCAAAGAATTTAAGGTATTCCTCGGCTACGAGCCTGCTGAATTCATTACTGCAGAGAGAGACAGAAGAGAAAGGGGAAAGGACAAATGAACCACATTATTAAAAACAAACCCTCATTCAATCTCATCATTTTGTAGACACACCATTTAGGTAAAAAGCTGTGTGCCAGAACCTACTTTTTGCCCAAGTGCTTTGGTACGTCAGACCGCTTGAATCTGTCCAGCTGGTAGAGGCGTCGTGCCAGCCTCTGGGCTGCGTCCACATTGCCGTTGGTGGTGCTGTTGATGAGATCGTGACTCAAGGGCTCGTGCGCCTCTTTTCCCAAAAGGTCATTGCTACCCATGTCCCCTGTGGCTTCTAATGGTGTTGGGCCATCCAGTCTTGCATTGCTACGAAACAGCAAGGGGGGGGGGAGAGAAAAGGATTAACCTTCATCTCAGTCTCACTCTCTTATTAATGTTCAAAGATCAACAGGTCATAAGCATAAAAAAGGATTATATTAGTATACAGACAATATAAAAACAGAGACACACAATATGGAAAACGTGGATATAGAATTTTACATTACGAAATGATACCATTAAATGCCATAGACAATTTTTTTGCACATGCCAGAGTCACAATTGGATCAGTATTTGCTAATAATCTTGCTACATCCTCTTGTTATGTGGCAGAACTCCATTTTTGGATATAGATTGTGATCCATTTGTCACGAGCCAAACTGTACTTATTGCAATCTATAAAGAAGTGCCAAATAGTGTCTAAGTCACCGGACTTACAGTCACATAGCCGCTCAGAGAAAGGAATTCCTAGAAATCTGCCTGCTAATTCTCCTAATGGCAGGGCATTTAATCTGGCCTTGTAGAAAAGTATTCTATACTTGGGAACCATTAGATATTTACTGTAAGCAGGCGGAGACTTTGGGATTAACCTTTATCTGAGAAGATGATATTTCTAACAGCAAAGAGAAGAACTGGTTACAAAGACTGCATCATATGGAAGGTTCTCCTGAAGCTTCAGTGAAATAAATGAAAAACCTTCATAATCTCAATGGGGATGCTTAGGAGAGCATCGGTATGCCCATTTAATCCTCTTTCAGATAGGTTGCAGACTGGCAACCTAAAACAATGGGACCTCAAAAATAATGCCATTTTGGCAACAACAAAAAATCCATTCTAGAGAGAGCAGATAAGCAGATGTCCTTTGAGTGCAGGATTGCCATCCAGACTAGCTTGTGGGACAAAAAAAAATTAATGCTGACCCACTGAGTTAGTTCTTAGATACGCTGAGTTATCAGCATAGAAAGGATGGGAGAATAAAAATTCCTTTTTACACCTCACGGGTTCAGAAACCAGTAAGAATTCAGGGAAGCAATCCTATTGAGAGCCAGTGTGACACACTGGTATGAGTGGTGGAACAGGATATGGGATACTCAGGTCCAAAACTCCCTACCCACCATGAAACTCACTGGGTGACCCAGGGCCCATCTCTGAGCCTGGCCTACCTTGTAGGATGCTCTGAGGATAAAATGGAGGAAGGGGGAGAACCATATATGCTGCCCTAAGCTCCTTAGAAGAAGGGTTAGGTAACAGAATAAATCAATAATTTTGAAAAGTGCATGCAACATGTTTAATGGATTCTGAAGTGAGAGATCTAAATGCAATTTTTTTAAAAAAGACCCTTCTTGAATTGAGAAGCTGAAGACCCACCAATCTGAAACCTAAGCTGGCAGGAAATTAAAGGAAGCCCTTCAGAGAAATTGTCATGATAGCCACCCATCAAATAGTCCGCTGATGAGATACCTAATTTAAAAAATGCACATATCCAAAGACATCCAACTGCATCTTTTGTTTGTGGTGATGGCCCGCTGAGATTCCACTTTCTGTATGCAAAATCACCTTAAGCAAAAGGAGAAATGGCTGCTTCTTATACAAACATCCTCTTCTCCCCACCCAAAATGAGAAAAGCAACTAAGAAAAATACCAACCATACTCCAGAGGCCTGTAGCCAGAAATCTGGCTGCTTATTTCAAATCAACGTGTGAATCCAGTCTCTCCATGGTCTCAGGCTGAGGTCTTTTCCATCACCGACTACTTGTGTTGTTGTTTTTTAACTTGGAGAGTCCCAATGTTCCCTCTAAGCTGAGTTCATGTGAGCTAGCTCACAGCTTTTTAGCCTCCAGCTCACACATTTTTGTCTTAGCTCAGGAAAGATGGCTCCAGAGCATACTAATTTATGCAGTAGCCAGATCACTCACTCACAACTTTAATGCCAGTTGCTCACAAAGTAGAATTTTTGCTCATAAGGCTCCACAGCTCAGAGGGAGCATTGTTGGAGACCCCATCTAGCATTTTCCTCT